TCTCTCTTTCTCTCCCCCCTCTCTTTTTCTCTCTCTCTTTCTCTCCCTCTCTCTCTCTTTCTCTCTTTCTCTCTCTCTCTCTCTCCCCCCTCTCTCTCCCCCTCTCCCCCTCCCTCCATCCCTCCATCCCTTTATTTCCACAGTAACCAAGATGACTACCAACTTGTGCGGAAACTCGGTCGTGGCAAATACAGCGAAGTCTTTGAAGCCATCAACATCACCAACAACGAGAAAGTGGTGGTGAAAATCCTCAAGGTGGGTCAGTCGGCATCTTCCCGTTTGGGGGGTGGGGTTTCCAGGGCAGGGGACGTCCCTTCACCCAGGCCACGGGCGGGGTGGATCCAGGGTTCGAGTCTCACCTTCACTCCCGAATGGGGTTTATCATAACAGCACTGATGCCAAGAACAGAACAGAATGACAGAGCTGGAAGGGACCTCGGAGGTCATCTAGTCCAGCTCCCTTCTCAGGCAGGAAGCCCACTGCTGTTGCCGACAAGTAACTGTCCAGTCTCTGCTTGAAAACTTCCAGTGTTGCAGCACCCACAACGTCTGGAGGCCACTTCTGTCCCACTGATTATATTGATCTGGGATTATAGAATGACAGAATAGAAGAGCTGGAGGGGACCTTGGAGGTCATCTAGTCCAACCCCCTGGGTCAGGCACGGAACCCTGTACCACATCAGATGAGTGGCTCTCCAGTCTCTCCTTGAAAGCCTCCAGGGTTTGTCCAGCAGCCACAACCTGGAGGTTTTCAAGAAGAGACTAGACCAGGGGTAGGTAACCTTGGCTCTTTTATGACTGGTGGACTTCAACTCCCAGAATTCCTGAGCCAGCACGGCTCAGCTTGGAAACCTCTCCCTTTCCCCTCAGCATGGCTGGCTCAGGAATTCTGGGAGTTGAAGTCCACGAGTCATAAAAGAGCCGAGGTTGCCTACCCCTGGACTAGACAAACAAAAGTTACCGGAAGTGAGCGAAAGTTTCAAGCCAGCCTGGGGATCTGCTGCTAAAAGGCAGCCCGCCTGCCGGCTACGTCTTACATAACGTTGTCCTGCTTGTGGTCTGGTTTAAATGGCTTTTGATTGGTTTGGGAGTAGGGTTTAAGAGCAGGTGTAATTGCACGCTGGCCAGAGTCCGTTTTGCGTGAGGTCGGCACTCACGTCACTTTGCCAAATGAGTAAAACAGCTCTGCAGTGCCTCGACCTCGGCGGGGCTCCCCCTGATCAAGCCGACTGCGCTCTGCCCTTTCCAGGGGCTGCAGAGCTGCTGCCCTGGGTGTGTGTGGGGGGGGGAAGTGTGGGTGAGAAAGGAAAGCAGGAGGATGCAATATGGATCCCCCCCCCAGTGCCTGGGCCGCAGTGTCTGAGCAGAACCACAAGCCCGGCCAGAGTGAGGGGGTGTGTGGCAGTGTACCCCGTTCCAGGCCGAGAGACCCCACAGCCCGGCGGTTACTGCACGCCTTCTTTCTTTTCAGCCAGTAAAAAAAAAGAAAATAAAGCGTGAAATTAAAATCCTGGAAAACCTGCGGGGAGGACCTAACATCATCAACCTTCTAGACATCGTCAAGGACCCCGTGGTAAGCGGGGGCGGGGGGAGGTTGGGGGGCTGCTGGCAGTGGGAGGCCCAGTCCCGCCCGGTGCAGGGCCACTTCCCTCTGTGTCCAGAGCGGCAGCCCCCCCAGGCATTGGGGACGCGGGTAAGGGGAGGCTGCTCGAGACCCTAGACCAGAGGTAGGCAACCTGGGCTCTTTTATGACTCGTGGACTCCAACTCCCAGAATTCCTGAGCCAGCATGGGGGAAACTATGGCCTCCTCATGACTCGTGGACTCCAACTCCCAGAATTCCTGAGCCAGCATGGGGGAAACTATGGCCCCTTCATGACTCCTGGACTTCAACTCCCAGAATGCCTGAGCCAGCATGAGGGAACTATGCCCCCCTCATGACTGGTGGACTTCAACTCCCAGAATTCCTGAGCCAGCATGGGG